AGTACGTCTATCACTATTCAGTTTTGTTGGTAAACCGTCATATATTTTTTTTGGCATCCTAGGCCAAGACACAGCTAAAGACCTAGAAAGAAAAATTAATGATGCAAAATTAAGTAGTCATACCACGAATGAGTTATTAAAAATTATACTTCTATACTAAAGACCACATTCAATTCAGTGAAACTATCTGATAAAAGATTTAGAGAATTAAGTGTTAGTATTCAGAATACTACAGAATATGAACACTCTCTTGTTGCTACCATTATTTAGGTTATCCTAATGATTTAAGAACTAGAACAAGAACAAAATACGGTAACTAATAATATAATATTGCTGCTATAAGCATAATTGTTTCAAATTATCTGCCCCGATTCCAGCACTTCATGAGAATGATTTTGTAGTTATCAATTCATCATCGGAATACATTATAGTTAGTTTAGGTCGTTACTCGTAATATCCAATTAAGGAAACTGAGTTAAAAAATTGCCTATCCGAAAAATCCGAAATCGCTCAATGTGAAGTTCAACTACTCTATCACCAAAAAGAATTACCTGAAAGGTGTAGGATTTCAAAAATGAATCGGCAACAAATATAGATTCATAAAACCACCAATAACTGGATTTAGGTTATGGACAAAATAAGAACGTTAAACCTAATTTGTAAACAACAATGACGATTTCTTCGTACGGTGCTATTACCAGTCAAGTTGAATTATCGTATCTTTCTGCTATGAATATCATCAAGTTCATAAGTTCTATCCGCAATTAAAACAACATCAATAAACAACAACAATTATTCAAAATTTAATTTTTTTTTTGCTATTATTTTCCCATTTATTTAAATTACCAAAATTACTAAAATTCTAATTTGTCATACTTAATATTAATGCATATGTATTTGCAAACATTATTTTATGTAGTTAGTTAATGTAAATATTTTCCCATACATAACTTTCTTAGACTATTTTAGTAGGAATCAAATTACATAAACTTTGTTTGTTAATAATTCATTTTGTTAATATACAGTTGACATGCAAAAATTGTGGATACGTAAAATAAACGTAAATCGGGTAACGAAAAAATCGAGCACGCCTTTCTAATACATGTCGTATAATTGTTGCGATAAATAACCAATTAAATAAACTAGCATAGATTTTCAGCAATAAAGTGCTAGTTATTAAGTTTTTTCCTAAGATGCGGCATAAGAATGCTACGTTTTGATGTAGTAACATTTGGCAAAGATTAACTTTTACATACAACTTTAAATTAAAGTCTTCAAACAAACGTCAAAGTATGTAATAATATTGTAAAAATTGTATTCCAAAATGTACGAAAAGCTTTGGTAATTTTTTTTACAATGTAAAGGTATTGAAAGCTCTGAGACGGTACTACAACCGTATTAATACCGTACTTAAACTTTTTATAAGGCATTATTGAAGTTACGGTATGTTACCGTAATTAATGAGAATTAACAGGCATCTGGAAACAAAAATTAATGAAGGTATGCAAAATATTGCGCATTTTTAAAAAGTCATAATAACTTATTAATATTTTTAATCAATGATCAATACTGTAAAAAAAAAAATTTTTTTTAGAATGTGTAACAGAAAACCAGGAAAAAAAATGTTCAGTTATACGCGCTCTATGAAATTTATATGAAATTTTGATCAATGCGCCAAAGATTTTAGATATGAACCAAAATGCGTCCCAAAGTGAATTGTTAGTGGAAAAAAATTAAAGTAACATCCGCGTATCTATGAAACTAAATGAGATGGCAAGATCTATGTACATATCTAATTTCAGCTCTTTATTTTCAAGGGTGTATAAGTTTTGTAAACATCTCCATGGGCGGACGGACGAGCGGGAAAAGTAAAACTAATTAGAGCTTTTTTCATTATTTTTTGGAAAAGCGATGCAAATTAATAACATATTTACGCTATTTATTAAGAATTATTAATTACAAATTTTGAATTTTTGTTAATATTAGCTTTTTGTCTTTTCATCATTTTTTTTTATTTTATAACATTATACTTAAATTATAATTATTTTTTTTTATTTTAACACTAAATTTTCTTTTGAATCGCTTCAATTTAGAATATGCATAAACAATTTTTGCCACCTTGCACTAGAAAGAATTACAGACATTTTAGTCTTGTCTTTAAAATGCTTAATATTTTTTCCTATACTTTGTATAAGAAAACAAATTCTGGACTTTTAAAAATCCATTTTAAAAAAATATTATAAAAAAAAAGATGAAACATCTAATTGCTATCCCTATAAATAACACATTTTTTATATAGAAATATTGGCGAGTAAACTAAGAACTAAATTTTTACGTTTGTTAGGCGGCGATTCGCGCTAACATTTTATGCAAGAACCACCAAAACCACTAAAATATTATTATTGCCTCTTTTCAACGCAATTATTATTTTTCCTTTTTTTATATGGAATAATTATAAGAAAAACAACTTTATTTTAGTTTCTTCTTTGCATTCTTGATCTGGAATTTTCCATTCTATTTATAGATCCAGAAAAATTTTATCCAAACGGTTGTGCAACGGTGATACACCGTTCACAACCAGTCCCACTTTTTTGGTTGATAACGTTTTCTTGTATATAAAACAGATGACGCAGTTCATTGAACTTGAAAATACAATGTAATTTTATATACACTGCGCCGTGATTTGTTGTTGTAAACACTCTATATTATGTATATACAATATTTCCCCTTTTTCATATTTTTCATTTCATTCGCTCGTTCTTTTTTATTTCACTCCACCACACTTTACAAATAGCTGATATGATTTATTTTTGATCGATTTTGCCATGCGGCAACACCGATCAAACTGAACGAAAGCTATTGAACGAATCTTTTTTTGTCTGCAAATGTCAATATTTGATTTATAAAAAATAAACAAGTGAAATGTGGTGTAGTGTTTTTTGTTGATTTATTTTGTTTTGCAAAATTAGCAAAAATTATGGAAAAAAAAGTTCCACAAATATTAAAAAATTAATATAAAACAAACACGAGATCAACCACGAAAGAAGGACTGACTGCGCTGGACCAGGACTAAAGCGATTGCAAACCTGCAATATATTCAACAGATAAGTTGAAGTTTCTTTTATATTTGATCAAATATATGTATGTTATATGCTTTAAGTAGTTTCAATTTTAGGTTGAGATGGAAACTTGCGCAGTTGGATGCATATTGAATTTATCAGATAAGTACAATCATGTTATTGTTGTGAACTTTGTATTCTTTGTTGTTGTTGTTTTTTTTTCTTTTAGGAAATTATCTTTGCCTGTGACGTCACGACGGAACATTCTCCCGGCCTTGGCATCTGTAGCTGAAGATGACAAAACGATGTGTTGATGTTTTTCTAAAGTTATCCATGCTGTAATGGTAATCGGTAAGTGTATCATTTCCAATCGAAAATGCTTTAAACATAATTTCCATATTCTAAGGCAGTATCCTTTTAGGTTTTTAGGTTCTAACATCTGTAAATAGAGAACGTAAAAGGATGGAAGGTTATAGCGCCTGAGCTCGCTTTCCGGAAATCCAAGATGTGGAATTGGGGATGGAGAGAAAAAAAAATAAATTAATAATTGGAAATTTTTGATCAAATCAAAAAAAAATATTATTTAAAATTAAATATATATATAGATATATTTAAGTGTAAATTCGAAAATATTGTCTTAGGTGCATCTTCTAGTATTAAGTGTAGATTCGCAAAATTTTGTATTAGGTGTTCTCCTAGTATTAAGTGTAGGTTCGCAAATTTTGTGTTAGGTGTTCTCCTAGTATTAAGTGTAGGCCCGCAAATTTGATATAGTGTAGGTGCATAATTCTGATATAGTGTAGGTGTATAATTCTGATATAGTGTAGGTGCATAATTCTGATATAGTGTAGGTGTATAATTTCGATATAGCGTAGGTACATAATTTCAATAAAGTGTAGGTGCATAGTTTACGTTCGCGAATTTTTTTTTTTGCGTACGATTAATCATTCTCGATTGATCAATGCGATATTTCGGTTTCGTTCGCCCTTGAATGTATTGGTAGTAAGCAAATCTTCACTATTGAACGTTTTAGTGTCCCATTCTTCGTCTTGATGGTAACTACTCGAACTAGTTCATCTGGACCGGGGTGAGTCTCGATGATGCGACCCATCAGCCATCTGCTTGGTGGTAAATTTTCATCTTTTAGGAGGACCAAGTCTCCCAATTGCATGTTGTCATGCCTTTTAGTCCATTTTGGACGTTGTTGTAATCTGCACAAATATTCGCGGCTCCAACGGGTCCAAAAGGTTTGATACAGCTTTTGAAGCAGTTGCCATCTGTTCAGCCGATTTTCAGCAAGATCTAAGATTGAAGGTTCAGGTGGTGTGACAATTACGTCGCCAATTAAAAAATGCCCAGGTGTTAGAGCCGTATAATCTTCTGGATTTCTGCTGATTTCGCATAAAGGTCTAGAGTTTAGACAGGCTTCAATTTGTGCTAGAACAGTTGCCAATTCTTCATAAGTTAACTTAATATTGCCGAGTACTCTCCTTAAGTGTTGCTTGGTAGATCGTACTCCAGCCTCCCACAAACCGCCGAAATGAGGTGAGGCCGGTGGTATAAAATGGAATGCCACACCGTCATTTTCGTGCGACTGCGCCAACTCTTCTTTTAATTGCTGTAGCATTTGTTTGTGTTGTTTGGCAATTGTTTTATTGGCCCAACAAAATTAGTGCCGTTGTCACAGTAGATAGCTTGACATTTGCCACGTCTACTGCTAAATCGTCTGTAAGCCGCGATAAAGCCTTCACTACTAAGATCCGTCACCAGTTCTATATGTATGGCCTTTACAGTGAGGCATATAAAAATTGCAATGTATGCCTTGTACATCCTAGGATTTTTAGCTTTGTGGGTCTTGATTTCAAAGGGCCCGCAGTTGTCAACTCTAGTATGTGTGAATGGTCGTGCAGCCCTGACTCGAAAAGCTGGCAAGTCAACCATTCATTGGGTTTGAACTGCCGCGCGCTCTTTGTAGCATGTTATACACTTGTGTATCACTTGTCGAATTTGGTTTCTGGCGCCAATAATCCAATAGTTCCTATTTAAAACATTCAGCATAAGTTGGGCGCCACCATGCAAAGTTTCGCGATGAACCTTTTCCAACAATAGTCGCACAAAGGGACTTTTATCGGGAAGAATAATAGGAAATCTTTCATTGTAGTTTAATTCTGAGTGATATAATCGACCTGTCATGCGCAATATTCCATTTTCGTCTAAAAAATTGCCCAGTTTTGACAGACTACTATTTCCATTTATAACTTTTCGTTTTTGAAGCTGAAATATTTCATGCGCAAAATGATGACCTTGAACAATGCGTATCCATGTAAATACACTTGCATTGAATTCTGTTGCTGTTATAAAACTGCCACCATGCTTAACTTTCTTAATAACACTCATAAATCTTCTCACATAGCTAGTTACTCGTATTAATTTCGTAAATGTGGACAACCTATTTTGTAACCCTAGAATGTTGTTATCGAGATGATCGTTAGTGAGTGTACTGTTGCAAGTTGCTGATTTACGCACTTCTTCGTCGGTGCTCTCGCATGTGGCTCTATTAGGCCAAAATTGTTCAGGGATGCTCAACCATTCAGGTCCGCGCCACCATAAGTCCAGATTTGGCAGTTCTAAAGGTAGAACACCCCGCGAAGCACAGTCTGCTGGGTTCTGCTTTGACGGTACATGTCGCCATATATTCTTTCCCAATAAATGGTGGATCTCAGCGGTCCGATTTGCCACAACAGTAGTCCATTTACTTGGATGCCCTTGAAGCCAGGCTAAAACAATTTGGGAATCTGTCCAGGCCCGTACCTCTGACCAGTTCATAATTTTCAAAACGCAGATCATCGGTCTTGTTAATTTTGCTAACAATGCTGCTCCACTCAGCTCTAGTCTTGGTAAAGAAATCGTCTTTATTGGAGCTACTTTTGACTTTGCCGCCACCAGACTAATTTGCCTGCTACCGCTTTTGTTTGTGACTACCAAATGGACAACTGCCGCATACGCTTTAATTGAAGCATCGCAAAAACCATGTAGTTCCATTTTACATGCCGTCGAGGTGTAACTGAACCATCTAGTAATCTTGATCTTTTCTAATTCTGTAAGACTGGATCTGTAGTTCTGCCATTCATCCTGTAGTGCCTTTTCCAAATCATTATCCCAGCCCGAACGAGACAGCCATAATTTCTGTATCATTATCTTGGCCAAAATGATACAGGGTGCCAGCCAACCAAGCGGATCGAACAATTTAGACACTTCTGATAGAACTGATCGCTCCATCCTCCAATTTGGTAATTCTATACAAGAAGTAGTCGTTGGCTGGGTCCCATTGCACTCTTAGCGTTTTTACCGTTTCTGCATCCTCTATTTGCAAAGGTCATTCAATTTCTCGGTGCTCCTTAGGAACCGCCTGCAGTAATGGTGCCGCATTTGATGACCATTTACGTAATGAAAATCCACCCGAAGCCATCATGTTGATGAGTTGTTTCTGAAGTTGTAGTGCTTCTTCGAGTGAATCTGCGCCAGATAGCAAATCGTCAACCTAAAAGGACTCTAATGTTGCCTGCGATGCCAAAGGATATCTGATCCTTTCATCTGTAGCCAGCTGCTTTAACACTCGCGTAGCTAAAAAGGGTGCGGATTTAGTGCCAAAAGTCACGGTAGTTAATTTATAATCACAAATAGGTTTTCTAGGTGATTCTCGCCAAACTATTCGCTGATAATCGGTGTGTTTAGGTGCAAGTTTGATTTGTCTATACAGTTTTTCGAGATCGGCTGTAAAGGCAACTTTATATTTTCGAAATCGGAGCAAAAGAGTGACCAAGTCGTCTTGGATGACTGGGCCCTTCATCATCTTGTCATTCAAGGATGAGCTGTTGGATGTGGGTCGCGACGCATCGAAAACAACTCTTAATTTCGTGGTGGAGCTACTCTCCTTGACGACACCGTGATGCAGTAAATAATTGGAAATGACCTTTTGATTTTCATTTCTCAACTGGATTGGTTCCACCTTTTGCATATGATTCATGTTGCTATACTCATTAATGCACTAGATATAATGCTCTTGGAGTTGTCGATTTTTGCAAAACTGTTTTTCCATACCAAAGAGTCTGGGAACTGCAATGTGTCTCGAACTTCCAATCTCAATTGGGTCTTCTTCTATGAATGGTAGCTCCACCTGGTATCGTCCATCTACAGCCCTTGAATGTGTACTGCAAAAATGTTTCTCGCATGCTAGCTCCTCTTTAGTCATCATTTTATTTTCTGGTATTTCTTCAAGTTCTCAGAACCTCTTCAGAGTTTCATTTAAATCCGACTGCATGTGGAAGTTGTTTATCATTATTGTTGGAACATCTTGTAGCTTTACAGTTCCGGACAGGATCCAGCCGAAAATCGTATTCTGGGCAATCGGTGCGCCAAACGAACCCCTCCTTAAACCGTCCAATATTATTTGGCCAAAAACGTCAGCAACTATGAGTACGTCTATTTTTCCCATCTTGAAGTATTCGGGGTCAGCTAAAGTTAATCCATTCAGGTGTGGCCACTCTTGCACGAAGATGTCTCGCTCTGGTAACAAGTTCGTCAATTTTTTAAGCACTAAACCCTACACTTGTACTCCTGTAGAGCCACTTGCACTTTCAATTATTACTCTGACCCTAGCCAATGATTGGCCAATATTTGTTTGTGATACACCGTGTATGTCAGCGACTACCCTCTCCTTCTTTAAACTTAAGCCTTGCACCAGTGACTCTGTTATAAAGGAACTTTGTGAGCCGGGATCAATCAGCGCCCTAGCACTTTGATATCAGCCCGTAGTAGGTGAAACAACTCTGATATATGCTGTTGCTAGCAAGACCTGTTGTCTGGAATTGACAGCCGTGCCGCATGTGTGGACGTTATGACTGCCGGGTACAAAGACTGGTGCCAAAGTGGACAACTCTGGCGCCACCGCTGCTGCTTGCTGTGGAGTATGTGCGGCGTGGTGCGTATGTACTTGTGGTGTAGTTGTAACTTGTGATGAGGTTCGCTCTCCTTCATCCTTTCGGTGTAGTAATGTATGGTGACGTTTATGACACCTGCAGCAGCTCTGCTGGCTTGGGCAAGTGGTCATCATGTGTCCAGGCTTCAAACTATTTATGCAAAGCCCCTTAGTTTTTACTGCCTCCAATCGCTTATTTTGACCCAATCTTGAAAAGACTTTACACTTTCTTATCGTATGTGCGACTCTACAAAACGGACATGAAGCACCATTATTCGTTGACCCAGATGTAGCAACATGAAATGAAGTGCTGCAAGAATTCCGGCTTGAGTCGTTCTGTACATGACTTCTTGAACCTGCAAATAATTTTCTAGCTGCTATGGCCTCCAATGTGCGGAACCTTGTTTCAAAAAAATTTTCAAGCTGTCGCCAAGTGGGTAGCTGCTTTTCAACGCTGATGCTTTGTTCCCAAAGCTGATGCGTTTCCATTGGTAGATTCTGGACTATGAGGTAAACTGTAATTGGATCCCAGCCTTCCACGTCAATATGTAGATTTGTGAGAGCTTGTAAGCATTCATTTGTTGTGTCTAAAAGCCCCCTTACTGCAATGGCTGATTCCATAGAAAAATAAGTAATTGAAGAATATTCAAGCCGAACAAATGGAAAAAATTCAAACATGAAAACTAGGTACCAGAATCTTGGTGTATATGAAAAAATATGAACGTAGAAAAAAGAAAGAACGAAAAACAAAGAATATCGTTTCTCAATTGAACAATGATTTTATTTACGATATCTTGATTTTTTTTTATGATCATTTAAATGTATGTACGTAGGTATACAATACAAATAAAGATCAAACAAAATATTATGAACATATAAGTAGGTATGTATGTATGTATAAACATACTGAATGCATAATTTCTTTCTTAATATTATATGGTGTTTGATATTATAAGTTTATGAATAAAATAAAATTTTTGATTTGAAATTTTAAAAAGACAAAAATTTGTGCCATTATAGAAATATGTATATATGTATTATAATTATATAGGAATGTATTAATGTGTATTATATGAATATGATATTACGAAAATTATGTAAATTTTTATTACAATAATTATCATTTACGTGAAACGTTTATAATGTGAACTGTAATATATAAAATAGTAGAATCTTTCGACAGTTTTCATGAAATCGAAAGTGGTACAAAGTTAGATATTTCTTTTTAATTAAATCATTGTCTTCGTCGTTAAATTCAAAAATAAACTTTGGATTGAATAGATTAAGTAAGGGTACTGCTTTTTTTCTAAGTTTTTGCTTTAAAATATCTGTTATTTTAAAATGTTTGGAGCATATATATTTATTTTGAGTGGAAAAACTTGAATTAAATCCACAGTTTTCTAGCCAAGTTTGCTTTAAAGTGAAATCGGTGGGGAATTTAAATATTTTATGGGTCCTATTAGAACTAGTACATTCCTTGGCACAACATTTTTTTAATTTAGTGTTAGGAAAACTCAATATATTTTCAGGAATCTCCCTATATTTAGGCTCCCAGTCAAAAATAGTTGGAATTGCATTTTTTTTCAAATATTTAGTTCCAATGCAATCTGAATTAAAATGCTTATTACATATGAATTTATTTTTTATTTTTTCTTGTTTCAGATTACAATTAGAAAGCCAAATATTCAAAATATTTTTTCGCTTAGGAAATTTAAAAAGTTTAAAATTATTATTGGAATTTCTTTTTTGAAAGCAATTCGAAATAACACACTTTTCTAATATATCTTTTAAATTAAATTTATATTTATATGTTTTGCATGCCATTTTAATCATGCGTGTTTATTACAGCATAAGAACTTTAAATTCAAGCGATTAAATATCTACAGCCTTCGCTATTGTACGAACGCAATTATAATGTACATATAAAGTTCCAAAATTTTACAATTTCAATTATTTCAAACGAAAAAATATCGAAAAGCAGCGGCACGTACAAATACATATAATAATCTTATTAATATTTCGAATTTATGAATGTAGATATGTATTATGTATACCTATACATATACATACATATGTATAACTTGAAAGAATGCAAAGAAGTAATGAAAAAACAAGAGAATAACGTAAAAAACTTTTATCTATTTGGTATACAAAAAATTTACGATAAAATATTGTGTGTATACCAAATTTTTGTGTTCTTTTTGTTGTTTTTATTCATAGTAATTTTTTCATATACACCAAGATTCTGGTATCCCATTTCAGCAAGACAAAATGGAAAAAATTAATGTTGAGACCTCTTGGATTACTTATTTCTCTATGCTGATTCCTAGTGCACGATCGCCTGCCCAAGAAGCCGTTTCAATAGCGTGTTGACTAGCACCCGCTTGTTGTCGTAACGCTCCTGTAGCATGTTGAATGCATCCATATAGTTGTCCTCTGTTACCTGAAAAGCTCTTAGCAACTGTTCGGGCTCCCCAGTAAGATGCAACTTTAGATATCGTAATTTTTGTACTGTCGGAAGAGTTTCATTATTGTGGACCAGGGACCTAAAAAGGTCGTAAAAGGAAGGCCATTTCTGGTAATCACCATCAAATTGTGCCAGCGTTATCTTTGGCAGGTTTATCGCCACACTTGAAACCTCCTTTCTCATGCTTATGCTATGGTTCGGATCCACTTTCAAGTTCGCCTCCTTATTAGGAAACCTGTCGACCATTTCAGCATCTATGGACTGATGACTAGTTTGGAAGAGCGTCTTTATTTCATTAAACACGCTGTTCTCGAGGTACGGGCACCTTGCGCTCTCTGCATTCCTATCTGTGTAAGAGGCCACCAAAATCTGTCGATGACGCTTCTTTATCTCATTATAAAGGGTCTCTATGACGTTCAAAACTTCTTCATAACATCTCTTTGGTTTATTATCTCTTTTATCCCTAGAAAAATGAGTTACTATCTCCTCTATCAGGAATTTATCCGCCAATTGCAACTCAATTAACATGTCCGTGTTAAACCCTATGTATTTAATATATTTATTTATAAGGTTCCAAATACCCAGATCACTTCCGTACCAACTAGATTCCAAACAAATCAATTAAACAATTTAAACACTCAAAATAATATCTTTATTTTCAACTATATATACATATATATTTTTTGTCTAGTTTTATTGAAATTACAACTATTTTATTAATTAATTACAACTAGTGTCAAATAGTTCCTTTAAATATTAATTTAATTCAATCTGAATCACAAAGTTTTATTTGCAAAGTACCACGCAAGTGTTCATAAAAAAAAAATTTTTAATATATATTTTTCTCTCCTTTTTTTTTCACTAAAACTTATTGATAATGCTTCATTATGTCCAAAAAAAAATAAAAATTTTGTCCCGAAAAATTGTTCCCCTTTTTCTCTTTTTTTTTTTTTTTTAAGCACTCAAGAAGAGGACAAAGCGTATTTCAAAAAAAAAAATGTATCTTTATTAAAATCGCCAAAATTATTTTAGAAAGATCCAGTCTAATCCGCCAGTAAAATTTGTTTCAAAAAAATTTAAACCATTTATGTAAAATATTTTCATAAAGAAAGAAATCCTTATAATCAAAATCTCCAATTACTTTGTATGCAATTTAAAGAAATAATAGAAAAAAAATGGAACGAACTCATCATAATTTCTCTCTTCCTCTTTTCTAAGTCCAATCCTTGATTCCAATTGGCGCGACTCGCGAGACCGATACCGAAACCGCTTTTCACCTCTACACTACAAAATAAAAGTTTTTTTTTTGTTCTACACTAAATATATTATAGTTTTTTTTTCATTATTTCTTTTTTTGCACCACAAAGAAATTCCACCACTAGTCTCTTCAATATTTCAAACACTTTTCTAATTTCGCACCAATAGTTTGCAATTTGTTATGTGTTTTTTAGTTTGTTTCACTAAATCTGTTCTTTAATTTAAACTTAGTTTTCTTTTTTGCACACTACACTACTTTTGTTCTAGTTTTTTGTCTTAAATCCAAATTTTTTGTGTTTCTTTTCATTTTTTTTTTTTCTAATGCCGCGAATTTTCAATATAATCCGGCTCGAAGGACCAAAAAATGTTAGGCGGCGATTTGCGCTAACATTTTATGCAAGAACCACCAAAACCACTAAAATTTTATTATTGCCTCTTTTCAACGCAATTATTATTTTTCCTTTTTTTATAAAGAATAATTATAAGAAAAACAACTTAACTTTTGTTTCTTCTTTGCAATTCATGTACTAACAATTTATTAAATTTATTAACAAAATTTAATTTTCTTTTAATATGACTTTATATAAACTAAGTATATTATAATTTCAATATAAATTCAAAATGGATAAGTTCGATGCGACGGTTTTTCTAATACTGCATTCTTGATTTGGAATTTTCCATTCTATTTATAGATCCAGAAAAATTTTATCCAAACGGTTGTGCAACGTTGGTACACCGTTCACAACCAGTCCCACTTTTTTGGTTGATAACGTTTTCTTGTATATAAAACAGATGACGCAGTTCATTGAACTTGAAAATACAATGTAATTTTATATACACTGCGCCGTGATTTGTTGTTGTAAACACTCTATATTATGTATATACAATATTTCCCCTTTTTCATATTTTTCATTTCATTCGCTCGTTCTTTTTTATTTCACTCCACCACACTTGACAAATAGCTGATATGATTTATTTTTGATCGATTTTGCCATGCGGCAACACCGATCAAACTGAACGAAAGCTATTGAACGAATCTTTTTTTGTCTGCAAATGTCAATATTTGATTTATAAAAAATAAACAAGTGAAATGTGGTGTAGTGTTTTTTGTTGATTTATTTTGTTTTGCAAAATTAGCAAAAATTATGGAAAAAAAAGTTCCACAAATATTAAAAAATTAATATAAAACAAACACGAGATCAACCACGAAAGAAGGACTGACTGCGCTGGACCAAAATACCCAGGACTAAAGCGATTGCAAACCTGCAATATATTCAACAGGTAAGTTGAAGTTTCTTTTATATTTGATCAAATATATGTATGTTATATGCTTTAAGTAGTTTCAATTTTAGGTTGAGATGTACACTTGCGCAGTTGGATGCATATTGAATTCATCAGATAAGTACAATCATGTTATTGTTGTGAATTTTGTATTCTTTGTTGTTGTTGTTTTTTTTTCTTTTAGGAAATTTTCTTTGCCTGTGACGTCACGACGGAACAACGTTGATGTAATTATAGTTGAAAATATTATTTCAGCAGTTTTGTGTCGAAATACATATTTAAGTCATCTTTTGTTTCAATTGGTTTATTAGAAAATTTGGATACAAAAACCAACCTACTACTTACGTAGGTTATGAACATTGTACTTTCACATTGTACATTGTAATTTGTATGAATATTGTACTTTCGCGTCACTAAGATTATTGCTCTGCCACCAATTTTTTTATTGGTTTATACATATTCAATGGCATTACATGCAACCCGTATGTTATAGAGGGATATGACTATGACCTTGGATTTAACCATTTTGTATAAAAAGAATGCTCAGAAGCTATAAATCCAGTGGGCAAAGTTTTTTTAATGTACTCCAAATTGTAGTAGTGTGTGATATTTGTGATATCAGGCCATTTCAGGAGTATTTTGTACTTTATCATAATGATTTCGAATCAATTTTCTTCCTTGTACAAGCGCTTTGAAGAGTTTCATTTTCTTTCACACTTTCGCAGCTTTTACATTAAACTTTTACCTAGATAAATTTATTACAGATTAGTTTATAGCAAATCTATAATTGTTCTGAAGATGGGATCTTGAAAAACAATGACGTCAAATTTTCTCCAGTTGTTTCTTTCTTTGTTCCAAGTATTATCAAAGCCATAAGGGGTGAGCTATTAAATAGTTAGAAAATTTTTTAAAGTAATTTTGTAGAGATTAACCATAGTTCAAACCGCTCTTTTTACTTCATACAGCAATGTGAAAAAAAAAAATATTACAGAATTAGCACACGCCAAGATTTTGACAATTTACCACCACATCAAACTTGGTACGTTAAAATTCATATATAATTAGCACTGCCCAACGCAATGAAGCCAAATAGCCAGCGATAAAATCTAATTTTATCGCTGGCTATTTTTGTTTTAATTTGTTTCTATGTGTGTTTGACATTATATATGACAAAATATTAGACAGCCGATTGTCCCATTCAGCTGTTGTTCTATGTCAACAACAAAAATCGTTTGTCAGTTTCTGCTTTGATTTCTGCTACATAATTATGTAAAAAAGTTGTTAAAATATTATTTTTAATTTCTGTGCTTATTTTAAATCTCCTTTACTTATAAAAAACAACCCAGAAATACGAAGAGTGAGTAGTTTGACATCTCCCAATTCTTACAAGTGAGCTAAAGTATAAAACTGAACACAGTATAACACAATACGTTATAAAATATTATAATTTTTTTGTAGTTTGTGTTAATTTTAGTGCCACATGAAATACGAGTATAAATTGGAAAAAGAAACTGAGCAAAAAAAAAGAGACTACAACAGATTGGAAGTGAAACTGCAAGAGAGACTTCAAAATTGAAAGTGAAGATTGGATCTCGAATTCTTCATTTTCTTTTACAGGAGATCAGCAGCAAGCTAGATAAAATACAGTCCTTTAGAAAAAATAACGTCTAAGAAAAAATGGAAGTTCTTAAAGACTGGGCTTTTCCGATAATTCAGTTCTGCACTGAAAGATCTAACTTAGGTTTGTAAAAACTTTTTACGCATACTTACAAACTTCTACAATCTGAATGACATATCTTTGCATGTCTGAAATGTCTATAATTTTTTTTAACAAGCTTTTATTTTGTTGTTTGTCAATTTGTTTGTTTGCAAATTGTCAATTTTATAAAAATAAAAAAAGAAAGATGTCTGAAGAACAAAGTAATATACGTTTTTATCTGGAAAATAAAAGAAGACGAAGGCATTTGTTACTAACATACATTAAAACAAGTAAAAACGTTTCAGTCGGTATAAACCGATTGAATTATACCCTGCACCTTTCGTTATTGTGTAGCAATTACTCGAACCTCTGAAATCATTCTATAAAAACTTCACGGATATGTCTGACCTATAATTGGACATCCGACTGCCAAGTTTCATGAATCTGACATTATAATTTTTCCAAATATTTAAAATTAGCTTTTGGAGTTGTATGATAAGTACCTGAATCTGCCAAGCAATTCCATCAAAATTTCACAAATATATCTGATCTGTAATCGGACACACAACTGCCAAGTTTCATGAATCTGACTTTATTATTTTTCCAAATATTAAGAATAAGCTTTTAGACTTGTATGGGGTCTACTCGAACCTGTTAAGCAATTCCACCAAAACTTCAGAAATATATGTGACCTATAACTCGACATACAACTGCCAAGTTTCATGAATCTGACTTTATTATTTTTCCAAATATGTAAAATAAGCTTTTGGAGTTTTATGGCAAGTACCTGAACCTGTCAAGCAATTCCATCAAAACTTCACAAATATATCTGATCTATAATCGGACACATAACTGCCAAGTTTCATGAATCTGACTTTATTATTTTTCCAAATATTAAGAATAAGCTTTTAGACTTGCATGGGAGCTATTCGGACCTGTCAAGCAATCGCACCAAAACTTTAGAAATATGTCTGACCTATAATTGGACACACGACTGCCAAGTCTCATGAATTTGACTTTATTATTTTTCCAAATATTTAAAATAAGCTTTTAGACTTGTATGGGAGCTACTCGAACCTGTCGAGCAATTCCACCAAAACTTCAGAAATATATTTGAGCCATAATTGGACACATGACTGCCAAGTTTCATGAATCTGACTTTATTATTTTTCCAAATATTTAAAATTAGCTTCTGGAGTTGTATGGCAGGTACCCGAACCTGTCAAGCAATTCCTCCAAAACTTCACAAATATATTTGACCTATAATTGGACACATGACTGCCAAGTTTCATAAATCTGACTTTATTATTTTGCCGCATATAAAAAATTTGCTATTGGAGTTATATGGCAGCCACCCGAACCGGTGCGGCTATCCCATTATAATTTTTAGAGCATGTGTAGAATATAATTGGACACATGTATACAAAATTTTATATTTATAGCTTTATTAGTTTTTGAAATATTTAAAATAAACTCTTGGAGTTGTATGGCAGCTACCCGAACCCGTTGTCCGATTTAGTCCAATAACAATAGGGTTCGTCCTTGGCACAAAAGAAAAAAGTTGTGAAGGTTTGGTGTCGATTGCATTATTCGTTTTTGAGTTATCGTGCGATCGGACGGACGGACGGACGGACGGACGGACGGACGGACGGACGGACGGACATGTCTAAATCGACGCAGAATTTTACGCTGAGCAAGAATATATATATATGTCCATACCGCAGATGACTATTTCAAGTAGTTACAAACTCCATACCAAAGTTAATATACCCTTCACGAAGTGCAGGGTATAAAAAACGAAAAGATCCTTGTACCTAAGGTACCCAATTACTTGGAAACAATCAATTTGATGCCGGATACCATATTTTTTGAACATTTCAGGATGGAGCGCGATTGTTTTGTAGTAGTTTGTTTCATCATCAAGTCTGGCTTGTATCAACATTTTTATTTTACATTTATCCCAAAATTTTTAATTTCCTAGCCCTCTATGAAAGAAAAACATAAATTATTAAATGTACAAAACAAAAATTGCATAAATTTACCCCATTAATTCTTGAATATCCGACATTTTTCTATTTTACTAATTTTCACTTTTATTGCAGTATTAAAAAAAAATCTTTAAAATTACCTAAGAACTTAAAGCTCAATCGTATTTTCGAACGAGCTTTTTTTGCACGAGAACATTATCGAACATGCTACTTTTACAGATTTTGCAGATTCGATTTATCGAACGTGCTTTACATTCAGAACTAAGTTAGAACTGAATTATCGAAAAAGCCCACTAATGTCCAACAAATTGAACTCAGAGATTAAGAGGTGTCGAGAAACAAACGAAGGGCTTAATGTAATTTTTCGCTCTTTCAATTATTAAGTCACCAGATATAGGGAATCCTACAAAACGCTCCTGTTTGAATCGAGCATATAAAGTTGATTTAACATTGGGGTTTTCTGATTCTTTTGGCGTCTTTCTTTCTTCAACTTCTTTGTTAGAATCACATTGAGCATAAAAAAGTTTGTGCTTATATTTTTTTTTATTTATTTATTTAATTTTATATCTCAAGAGAGCAATTTTGCTCATACAGAGTGTGGTTTAATAAGTATGTTAATATACAAATTTAATTTAAAGAAATGTAAAATAATCGGTACATTTTCCATTACTAATAATAATTCATTAAATTTAAAGAAAAGTTAAAGAAAAACATAAAGCAATATAATAATAAATTGAAAAACAAAAATTCATAAAATTTATATACATAGCTAATTTAAATTCAGAGAAGTACAATTTTTAATTTTAAAAAAGAAAGTTAATTTTGAGTTTATCAAACATTAAACTTATCAAAAAAATTTTTTTTTATTTATTCCGTTTGCTGCTCGTTATTCGTTGTATTGTTTAAGTAGTTCTTTTTTCATTTCATTTTTAAATTTTATTTCAGTTAGAGATTTGATGCTTTCAGGTAATCTATTGTATTGAAATATTGCCGATTTCATAATTGGTTCAAGACCATTATGATTGTATGCCCTGGTGAAGCGCAAATGATTTGCTGATCTTGTATTATATTGATGCACTTCGGAGTTCATTGTTAACACAGTATTACTTTTTATATTATTATTTTTCATTTGATACACTTGCAATATTTGCACAAAAATTTTGTATTGTATTAGTTTTTCAAATCAAAAATTATATTGACTGCATTTCCATATTTTTACGTAACATCTTTCACAGTAGTTCCATTTTCGATTTCTTGCGAGATTTGCATCTTATCTTTAATAGATAAGATGCAAATCTCAAAAAATAAAGAAAAGTAAGAAATTAGCACCATTTACGTAACCGGAGACCGGATTTAGTTGGGGAGTAAAAATACCCACACATGTTTGTGGTACGAGTCCACTAAAATCCGGATTAAGCTCAGGCGCGTCTGATCCAGAGTGGACGGTTTCCTAGTATGTGTCTGATATTAGAGGGAGGACAGTAAAAAATACCCGCGTTTTAGTGCTTGCGAGGGCTAAGTTAGTAGACATATAACGTAAAAAGAAACATGAAATGTGCAATTATAAAAATATATATGCAGTACGATATCTACCAAAGTGTCAACAGAGACAACGGCTGTCGGCGAGGGCTTAATGTTCTAGGCGTTCAGAGAAGTCGCTAGTCGAAAAATAAGATCACTAGACGAAATTAATGAACCCATTTGGCAAGAGCTCAAGCATTGCAAGGTTCTTTCTAACGAAAGAAGATCTGAAAAAAAAAGAAAAACCTCTGATGGTAACGTAAAAGGCCGTTACATCAGGAACGGTAACCAATGGTCGATTCGCCTATAAGCGATTCGAAAAGCATGTGTAAGGAACTGAAAGAAGAGCTCTGCATATTTAAGGTAGAAAATTTAAGATTACTTAGACAGTACATAGTGGTAAATTCTTAAACGTCAAATTTTACAAAATCTGAGTTGTCTGAGTTTACGGATACTCTACTACGTTTTTACTCTCAGTCAAAGTTTAAATTCTTAAACGTTTAAAAAAAGTCAATTAAGCGTCAAAATTGTAGATTTTTTTTTTACATGCAGACAGTCTGACGTAGTAATTCAGTAAATAAATTTGATGTGTTGAGTGACTATTATTACGTTAAAAATAATATAAAAGATATTTTTATTGTTAATTTTTAATATGTAAGTATAAAATTATTTTGAATCTAAAAAAAAAATTTTTTTTTGTTTTGACGTTTACGGATGATCGAAATTCAAAGTCAATTACGGGTAAAAAGTTTACTAGATTTCTGTCCGTAAAAGTTTTAGTTTCAGACAGTTTGCAGACTAAAATCAAAATTTTGACGTTAAAGAATTTGCGGTAGCTTTAAATGGCACTAAGAAAGATAAAGTAGGTGTGATCGTTATAAAACAGATGAAGAAAAGTTGGCTAAAGAAACCCATTGGGTTGTAAAAACCAAAAGAAACTCAAAGAAGAAAAAAACTAAGAGCTCACCAGAAATGGAGCCAGCACAAGTAAAGAAATCTCCCCCAAAGTAAAAATACTTAATTAAAAAAACATAAACCTCTACCGGTAATAGACAGTAATATAATTATTTACGCGCAGTTAATAAGAATCCTCAAAGACGAAAGTATTAACGTGAAAGCAGGCACAGTCCCAATTTATTCAGCGCCACAAGCGGTTTCTAAAAAATTCGCCGCCCCTCCCTTTCCACAGTTCCACTTCTTTTAATACTGTGAACAAAATGTAATAAACATTGCACATTGTGAATCATAAATCACTTTCTTGTAACCTTATCATGCTGAATGCAGGATTAATTATAGAATTAAAGCCAGGAGCTAAACTTACAGCTTTTTATTTTATAAATTCAACAAGGTAATTTAGTTAACTATATTTTATGCAGTTATGATCAGATTTATTTCAATCATTTAAATTTAATTTTTCGGTTTTAAAAATCAAAAATTCATTTTTTGGCATAAGTGAAACTAAATGATGAAAGGTTTTAAAAAAATAATATCAATAAATGAACTTTTTCAAAGCTTATTTGAATATACAAAAGGAAAAATTTATTTATTTACATATATACTTAAATAGTTGTACATTGCGAAATTTTATATTTTTAATAAAAAACTCTGTCATTACAAACTTTCATTCCACAAATCATTTGGGAAATGAAGCAGTGTATAAAAAAATTTCGACTCGATTTAAAAATTTAGGACAAATTAGGTCTAAAATTTGGGGCT